ATTAATTCCTTTTCGATAAAATTTCGTAAATTCTAATTTTAATACTTAACTTGTCATTTCATATCCGATAATTCAAATAACAAGCATTAAATTAACTCTAATATTCACGGTGCGGCTTCGGCATCATCATTCACGAGATATTCAAAAATATGCATAACACAAAAGTATCAACTATAATGTAACCATCATACTAAAAGTATTACTATAAAATAAATTCATTTACATCAATCAGCCATAAATTAATTAGATATGACATAATCAACCGAAACAAATGTAACGGAGATCTTATACCTGGAGCATGCGGATCTGTCGAGCGGCGTCTGGTGCCGACGAGGAGGGAGGTCTTTGAAATAATAGTGTATTGTCAGTCGGGTTTAGTCCCCACATGTGGCTTGGGAGGGTGAGTGGGTGGATCCGTGCAGCATCGCGAGACAAACCTCGAACACGTACCGGGTCGTCTTGTGAACTTGTATTAAGAATATAGTGTGCACACTGCAAATATTCAATTTAAGGGAAATTAACCCAAGATTCTCTCTCTCTTTACTTTTAAGCACACACACACACACGACAGCTCACAGACCCACTCACACACACGCACACACACACAACATATATATATATATATATATATAATATATAGAGAGAGAGAGAGAGAAGAAAGAGGGAGAGAGAGAGAAATCAGTGGCGTATTATAAAAATTAAGAAAAATGATTTAAGGACCCAAAATATGGGACCAATGGAGGGGACATGTGAGGTGTCCCCTCCCTATTGCATAATGAGTTGGTCATGCCAACTCATTATGCAATAGGGAGAGGACACCTCACCTGTCCTCTCCCTTGGTCTCATATTTTGGGTCCCCGTAGTAACACTCATAGATTAACTAGAGTTGAGACATTGATAGATGTGCTAAGGATATAACTTTATATTCATGTATTCGCTGAAACCTGTAGAGTTTGCTCCTCAAGTGACTATTCATGTATTCATTGAATCTTTTAGAGTTGACTCCTCAAGTTACCATGACGAAGAACTTGGATGCAATCTAAATGCATTGTGCTTAAAAAAAAATCTTAATTCTTTGAAGCTTGCATCTTAAGCAACATAAGAGGAAGAACTTGGAGTTATCACAACTAAGATGATATCAAGTATAGTGTCGACAGCTATATATATATATACCTTATTTTCAAGGGAAAAAAAATTGTAACGAGCATCATGTTTAGGTACTCACTTGAGGCTCTATTGGCACCTTCAGGAGAAGCGAGGGGAACGTAAGTAAAATGACATAATATTTTGTAACTGTTCGCAAAATTTCCATATAAAAAAGATACGACTTCAAATAAGACCCATACGGCTACTTTAAGGATTTTACTTTATTACTGTTAGTCTGTTACTAAAAGGCTACTAAATGAATAAGTATGTTCCATTTGCACATCAGTTGGGAAATCAAGCATAGAAAAGCAAATGAAGAAGAATTTCCTTTTTCCCCAGTCTATTACACATTAGTAGGAGTGAGTTCTCATTAGTAGGAGTGAGCGTTAATCAGTCCAAACTATTTAAATTAACCAACCGATGCGCGAATGGACTGTTGGCAATATGAAAAACATATCACATGCCAATAGTTTTAAAGCGAAGGCGAGAGATTGTAAGCTTATAGAAAAAAAGTATTACATGTCTTATTATAGATGAAGTTTTTTTTCGCATGCTTCTTCATTGACCTAAAAAGTACTATTATGTTAGCAATATAAAAGAAAAAAATATGTGACTCTAAGATACAATATAAACAGAGAAGAGAAACATAGAGAACTTGAAAGGGCAATGAATGCTAAAGGAAATATAATTTTATTAAGAATTTAATAAAGATGTTATCTTTACCAATTGATTGTGGAGACTAACAATCAAGTCTTTACAATTATAATTTCATGAATAAATTCCCTTCACCCCCCCCCCCCCCCCCTCCCTCTCATGCAAGTGTGTTTCTCTTCAATGCCTTTTGAATAAAGAAATCAAACATTTTCTTACAAAGCTTTAAAAAATTAGACACCAAATTAACCAAATTACTAACCAAACAAAAGAACTCATGCATACTTCCTCAACAAAGCATTATCTAGAGCTTAATGCATTAAATCTTTTAAAATTGCTTAATTATCTAAAATTATAATTTAAAAAAAGTTAAAAATCGTCAAACTGATTATAATCAATTCATAAAAAGAAATTATTTTCTGACCAAAGCATTCTCTAGAGCTTAGTGCATTCTCCAAAGAATTTCGTAATTGGATGGTTATTATGACACTTCTAAAACTGCTTAATTATCCAAAAATTATAATTTTAGAAAAAAAGGAAAGTTAACGCCCCCGAAAATCATCATCGATATCAATACTTAACGGTCTAAAATGCAAATACTCCCAATTAATCCCTAACTAAACGGAATAAGTACGTCGGGCGAAAAATCTAAACAAGGAACCCCCATATATATACAGTGTGTTCCGAATACTTAGGAGCTAAGTGCTAGTATCATCATTCTAGCGTTAAGTATAAACATGACCAAACAGATAACCATAAATCATAAACAAATCATACTAAATTTTTAATTTACCTGTTCAAACATATGTGGGTAGTCGCGACGCATATCCTCCTCGTGCTCCCATCAAGTCTCCTTAGTTCCTCTCCGGTTCCACTGAACTTTAACTAAGGGTATCATCTTATTTCTGAGCTTCTTATCCTCCTTGACAAGAATGCATACCGGAATCTCATTCATAGTCAAATCATCGTGAATCTCGACCTCTGGTACGTCCAACACTCTCTTCTCCTCCTCGTCACGTAGATGCTTCTTAAGCATAGAAACATGGAAAACATCGTGTATGCTCGACATCGAGAACGGACCAATGTGTCTCGGGGCAAGCTTGCCCCGTCTACCAAAACACTGTACACCCTTCATTGGTGATACTTTTAACAAAACATAATCCCCAAACTAGAATTTTAATGGTTGTCACCTCCGGTCTGCATAACGTTTCTGATGACTTTGCGCTGCAAGAATACACTCTCGAATGACTGCTACCTTCTCCCTAGTCTGTCTAACAAGCTCCGGTCTAAGTAATAGACTGTCTTCTGACTCTGCCCAACAAATAGGTAATCCGCAAGGACTCCCATACAATGCTTCATACGGTGTCATGCCAATAGTTGCTTGATAGCTATTATTATAGGCAAACTCAATCAATAGTGGTCCTCCTAACTACTCTAAAAATTAATAACGCATGCCCTCAACATGTCCTCCAATATCTGGTTCACTCTCCTCGTCTGTCCATCCGTCTAAGGGTGAAATACACTAGAGTAAGATAACTGGATACCGAAAGAGTTCTGGAAGCTTCTCCAGAAATGTATTGACTTCGTCAACCGATCCACTATTACCCAAACTGAATCGTTCCCCTTCTTCGATCTCGGCAATCCTACAATAAAGTTCATAAAAATATCTGCACATTTCCTCTCCGGAATGGGTAAAGACTATAAGGTTCCTGCTGGCCTCTGATGTTCTGCCTTCACTTGCTTGCAGGTGAAACACTTACCACATACTTCGCAATCTCATCACATATGCCGCTCCACTAAAAATATCTCTTCAGGTCCTTATACATTTTCATTGTGCTTGGATGCACTATGTACCTAGTACGATGCACCTTATTGAATAAGTTCCTTCTTTAGTTGTGGATTTCCCGACATCACTAGTCGGCCTTTTATTCAAAGTCCTCCATCAGCTCCAACGGTCCAATCAGCCTTGGGCTCTTTAGAAATATCCCCCTTTCGGGTTTAAATCCAAGTAACCTCTAGCTGAGCTCTAACCACTCTATCACTCCAAGATGGTTGCACGGACAAAGCTCCAAAAAATGCGCTGTTCCCGCCTATCTCTGGTCTAAAGTCAAACTGGTTAAGTGTGTGGAGATCTTGATACAACGAACACCTCAAACCAAAATCCGATGATGACGCTTCCTGCTCAAAGCGTCTGTTACGATGTTCACCTTCTCCGGATAGTACTAAATCGCGAACTCGTAATCCTTAATAAATTCAACCCATCTCCGCTGTCTCTGTTTTAGCTCTTTCTGAGAGAAGAGATACTTCAAACTCTGATGATCCGTGAATAGCTCGAACTGCATTCCATATAGGTAATGTCTCCATGTCTTCAGTGCAAAAACTACCGCAGCTAGTTCCAAGTCACGTAAAATACTATCACGAACTGTCATGCTCTGCCTCCGATGCACCCACAAAATTTATAATGCTAGTCGAAGATACTGCTCGTGCTCTGCCTCCGATCTCGAATATATTATGATCTCGTCGATAAATACTATCACGAACTGGTCCAAATATGGATGGAAAACCCGGTTCATCAAGTCCATAAATACCGCGGGTGCATTAGTCAGTCCAAACGGCATGATAAGAAACTCGAAGGACCCATAACGAGTCAAAAAAGCGACATTGGGAATATCTATCTCCCTAACCCGTAACTAATGATAGCCAGAATGAAGATCAATCTTCGAGAAGTGCTGCGCTCTCTACAGCTGGTCGAACAAGTCATCAATCCTCGGTAATAGATACATATTTCGGATAGTGAACTTGTTCAACTCCTGATAATCTATACAAAGACGCATACTGTCGTCCTTCTTCATCACGAACAACCACAACTATAAATTTAATGAGAGATTTTCATGTGTCAAACTGTTCAAATATGTTATGACATACTAAAACAGTTACGCTGGTTGCAGAAATGCAACAATTGCTTGTTGCTTCATGCTTTGTTTTTTATGAAATTTTTTTTTCACCTCTCCTAACATTAAACATGTCTTTTTCAATTTTTCTATATCGCGCATTATTATCTCTACATAAAATCTTGAGAAAATTCAACAATTGTCTCGTTAATAACCCACTTCACCTTTCTAGCTTCCTCCGAATGCACGACCATCCAACCATCTCTTTTGTGAGCTGTGTGCATTGCAAGGATACCAAACTAGTCCATGATATATTATATTACAGGGGGGACTTCATCATGGAGGAAAAATTGTTCAACTACATGGTACAAACAACACAGGTCATTTAATTACAAGGCATCAACTTGCACTCACCCAACAACCGGATACAACCCTCATAAACAATAAAGACAACCATCTCCTAAAAATACATCCACTACATCAAACAACATAGAAGAACTCAGCTACACAGACAATAGCAAGCCCCACACTGGGTAAACCATTATGAGAATAATCCCAATGGTGTTTGATACACCCTTGCTTTGCGTGAAAGACTTCCTAAATCCACCTGATGCTCGGATGTGCTCTTGTAGAAGGAAGCAAGCGATGACGAGACAGATGATTACACCAACCACATCGTCTCTTATCGTGGTAGCAAAAAAGCCCGGGGCTACCACCACCAGAAGAATCAATGATGCAGGCATCTCAAGCCAATCTGAAGATAAAACATAACATATGCAAGTTACTGCCAAAGGACCCTTCTACAGTACCAATACTTCAAAGTCACGGTGAGAGTTGAAATTTATTATTTTATACTCTTAACACCCCCAACAAAGTTTCCTTTTCATGGGAGTTGAAACCTGGCCTCAAGTAGCAGTGTCTTTTTCCCACTTAAATTTACATTAAATTTGTGGCCAATGAGATTTGAACCTTGCTTAGTCTGACAACATGTCAAAGGATCCTTCCACTAAACCAAAACTCCAAGTTTGGTGAGGGTTAAGGTTTGTAATTTTATCCTTCAACAGCACCAAGTTTTATATGTTAAGTATCTCAATTTTCAAGTGTTCGCATAAACGGATGAGGCTATAAGCATTGTTAGTTAGATTTATCAGGTGTAAAGAGTACCTTAAAACCTTGCCAAGAGGGTCAAACAGAATAATATAAGGAAAAACTATAAATAATCACATTTTAGAGCCAACTAAGACAAGTGACCTACATCTACAACTTTCACGTACAAAGTCAAATCTAGTTCCTTTAATGCATATGTATTGAGTCGACAGATTCATTTTGGATTTGGGTTAATTGCACATCCCTGCAGTATCATTGTTTTGAACTTACTATGGATTAATTGTTTTTTTAACTCTTTTATCCTTGGTGAATTGCACATCCCTGCAGTATCCTTGTTTTGAACTTACTATGTCTGTACTTTCATTATTGTAGATAGACCCCATGAGTTAATTGTTTTTTTTTTAACTCTTTTATCCTTGGTGAAATTTGGCAGATATCTCCCCTAGGCGAAATTAGCAAAGTCCAGCTAAGGGAAAGAATCAAAAATTTTAAAACGGGTTCTTTATGCAACAATGAAATTACAATGGTAGTAAGTTCAAAACAACAATACTAAGGGGCTGTGCATTTAACCCTTTTGGAATTGAGATGTTACCGGTAGGCTGGTAGCGAACTTACAAATGTGCACAGGAAAAGGGGAAGTTGGGGGATATTGGTCTTAATGATGGTACTACCATATAACTAAAACTTTTTTGTCTGTACACCATTTTCTGTGTCCGACCCAGCCAGCAACAATTTAAATGGAGAGCTTGTGATTGGCATCAACTTATGAACTGGTACTGTAACAGATTGAAGGGGAGAGGTTTCAAACAAAGAGTGAAGAGAATGGCATTATCGGCTACAGTATATTGCATTTGGAAAGAGCGCAATGCGAGAATCTTCAAGCATATGAGTAGAAGCTCTGAGAATCTGATCAAAGATATCTAAGTGGAAATGTTTATCATCATCCTTAACAGCTCCTTACAGTCAGAATACAGGGGATGGTTGTTAGCTTTATAGCTTTTGTTTTTGTTTTTGATAGTTTTTTCAGGTTCTTTTCCTTAGTCAAATAGATATCTCAATTCTGAGTAATGTGATGTACATAATCTTTACATACATGGTAAATGAATAAATTTTTCATTGAAAAAAAAAACTAAAACTTTTTTCCCCATTTATTTGCATAGTACTATGGGTGATTTATATCTATGATGACTAACAATCATCATTGATATAAAGGAAAATGTCAGTTTTAGATCATGAAGGCCCGACTGTACACTCAGAAGCCAACAAAAGATATATACATTCAAAATTAGAAAAACTTGAGGTTTAAGTTAAAGACTCTAAGTTCGATGTAATAGTTAAACATAAACTATAATTGTGAAATTTGATCAATTATCTTGCAACAGACATAATATGACAATAACCATTCCTGCGCCTAGGCATAATCTCCGAGTGCATATATGTGCCATGAGGGTATTGAAGATATAGGTGTGCATGGTACTTTTAACTTTTAAACTATGCTTGATTAAATCTGCATTTAAGAAGTACCTGGGAAATGCCTAGGAAAAAACAAATGTAGCACCACAGCAACAAAAGCAATCCAGTTGCCAACCTCCCCTCTATAAAAGGTCAATATATAGTGCACTGTAAATAAAACATTTAATAACAGAAAATGAAAGAGGTGGTAGTACTTGTTCTGAGAATCACCTCAATAACGAAAATATAACAGAAGGGAGACTCAAGAATATATATGGAACCAAAAGAGAGGTTAACATGTTTGTCTTCCAGTTTGTGCGGTCCAGTATCAACAAATATCTGTGGTAGATATTAGATAAGAGGAGAATGTTAAATTCGAAAAACCAGTTCAAACAAGTTGATGTTCAAGAACTACAATGAAAATTGAGCGTGGGTAAATAATAAAGTTCACAATAGAAGCAAGGATCTTTTAGTTAAGAGTATTAGTAAACTGACACAACTTAGCTCATAGCTGTTAGGATGATCCCTAGCAAGCAAGTACTTGCACTTCTATAAGGACTCACTTTCCTGATGGCCGTACTGGGGCATCAAGATCTCGAAAAACACTTAAGCCTGCTATATGGATATGTCTACAGGTTTTCTATTATCACCTCCTCAGTAGTAGAATTTACAAAAACTTACAATTACTTCAAGTATATCAGAAACCTTATTGCCTCCATCCCCCATGGAACTAGTCACCTGTTGTGTGATTTAGTCTGTCATGTGTTTTTACAAGGTCCAGACTCCATATTATGTATCATAGATTCCGGTGTTCGGTGTTCAATCCAATTCTATATACCATTGAGTTCAATGTTCTCACAGGTGAACATATCATCCATCTCTTTACTTCACGTTATTCTAACCTGAGCCATACTCACCTTTTTTTATGGGATATGCCCTAGTGCATCATACACAAGCACCACCACCTGCTTAGCATTGCATCTGCATTGAGCATAATCAGTTGTATGCACTTCACCTCCTCTTTGCCTACGAGTCACTAGCGCACCTCCAAACCCCAATACTGATAGATTCGAATCACAGATATGACCCGGTCCAATTGTATAGAAATAAACAATATCTAGATTTTTCTTTCAAGAATTTCGCCAGCTCTGCTAATAATCAGGCACCCGACAGATTTGGATTTTGGCTCACCATGAGCTCTAAAACTATTCATTGTGGATAAAATTTCCAGCCTCAGATCTCAGTAGGACGAGATTAAATATCAAGCAGACATGATACAACTGAAAAGACATGATAAATTGCATGGTTTGGTGATCTAATTTCGATCTACATCTACGGATCACGAATACGACAATCCATTATTATTCCTCGTCTGTCTGATTTTTACCCGCTCTCTCACTCTCATGTCCCACATCTCCACCCATACAAGAATATGCAAATGCTAAAACGACAAGCCCTGGCACTACACACATCTATCAATAGCCCACACCAATGGTTGAAACTGGCCCAGTAGCGGAACTCTAACTGCCTGCTCAACCTTGTATCCTAACAAAGACGGGTGAGATTGTGATGATGAGTGAGAAATATTATTACTTTAAAGTTGGCAATACCTGTTTAACGTAAGTCTTCGAAAGAGCCCATGATGCGTCTATAAAGTGCGTCTAAAGTAGCTTGTTAAGCGGCATTACATAATTCAATAACTTCAGACTTTAAGTATTCCAAATATTATATGTTCAAAGATGGCTAAGACTGTGAGGATGAGTGAGAAACATTAATTACTTTAAAGCTGGTAATACCTGTTTATCATAAGTCTTCGAAAGAGACCATTATCAGTTTATAAAGTGTGTCTAAAGTAGTTTGTTAAGTGGCATTACTTCAGACTTCAAGTATTCCAGATATTATTCGTAAGGTGTTCTGGCAATGACGGGAAAGAAATAGGAGAAGTATGCACCAAGGAAATGTTGAACACTAGAAAAATATAATCTCAATCTACCAAAATGTCTCAACCATTTTTCGCAAATTTACCTTTTCTTTTTCCCTTGTATAAATATTTTACGGTATCTTAATGAACATATATCTAACTTACTCTCAAGGGGGGAAAAAGAAACGATGTCACTGTCAGCATAAAAGCTTGGCTTGGTAACGGATCTCAGACGACTCCAAACTGACATGTATGTTTCTAACCTAATCATTAGGCACTAGGCTCCTACTGAATGTCATTTTCTTGCAAGGTTAGAAAGAACACCTGTTTCTGAATCAGTCCTTGTTTTGAGTAACGAGGGAACGATCCCCAGGAAGTTTGCGGAACAGTCCTAGCACATTGACTAAAGTATTTTGGCTTTTTTTTTATTGATCTCCCAAATCTCAAGTATTTAAAATTAGTTCCTTAAAAACATATATCTTAGTTGGTCCCAAAATCTCATAAGTTGTATCAAATAGGCCGCTTGGCTTAGAAACCATTATCTTCAATCCCTAATAAACTCATTTTATTTCAAGATTTCAGCTGCACCATTATATTCTCGTCTCCCTTAACCCATGAAAATTAAACCTAAATCCTTCATTTTCGACTTTTTCATTTATCTTACTTGTTTGCCTCTTCTCTACGTAGTTTTGATCTCTCTCCTTTAATCATGTATTTGTAATGATTTCTAGTTTCAAAAGTGTTGAGTTCAAACAACATTAAATTTGTAAGGAGGTATAATGAGAGATCTTAATGGTGTCTAAGTTTATTATGGGTTAAGATAGTGGTTTCAAAACCAAGGGACTTATTAGATACAATTTATGAGATTTGGGAAATTTTAAAACATACATGCTTCGGGGGGAACTTTATAATACTTAAGATTTGGGACCTATATGAAAACCCAATTGTCTGTCCCCTGAGAATTTGAAATTCGGCAAATCTCTTCAATGTCATGCAAATCCTTGCAAGCACTCTCAAACCAATCTCCAAACATTTTCCTTCCAGACTGCATTCTTTGTGGAGCATAGTGTAAAATATTCAAAATTCTCGTCACATGATGGACTAAAATTTCAAACAGCAGTCGAATGACAGCATCATAGATCCGAAATTCCTATAAGAAAATATGAGCAGATAGTAAAATCTAGTTAGGATTCTAGAGGTTACATTAGGAACTCTCTTAACGATTACAAACTCTAAGATACACCAAAACTCCGCATTAAATTCCAAAGTCATGTGAAGCACAACATATGAATATATTCCAAAGCGCATCAAGTTCGTAATCTTAAAATCCGCATTAAATTCATGGCCAGTGGGTTTTAGACCTGGGTTGCTTTGTATCACCATCTTAAACTCTCTCTGCCACCACACCAAAACTTCGAAGCTGTGGTGAGGATTGAGGATCACAATTTTATACTTAACATATATAAATATTCCCTTCCCTCATTAAAGCCTTATCCATCAAAATGGAGTTAGGCATGGGGATTGGGGAGGATGCTTGCTGGTACTCCCATAAACTACCTCCGGCCAGTAAACAGTTAAATCATCTCGTGAGTACTCCCTTTGCTTTTTGTTCAGCTACACTCATTTTTGTGTTGGTCAACCCGGAATTAATCTATGTCCAAGCTCTAGCAATGCCACCTGGAATGGGGCCTTCTGTCCCCTGTAGAATCATCTTCATTGATGATTTGGTTTGATGACCATTCCAGGCAAGTCACTCGGCTTGGCCTTATTTGCTTGGCTAAGGGCTGGAACTTCTCTCGGGGATTCACGACAAGGTGAGTTGTACGTGTCGGGTGTTTTGGGTTGCTATTAGAAGTCTATATATGGCTTGAGGATGACCTTTTTTCCGCCGTAATTTTCTAGTGAAATGTGGAGGGGCCTTCCTCAGGTATTGCCAAGATTATGCTGTGACTTTGTGATGATGTGATAACGGCCGATTGAATGATTCAACTCTCGGAGAGCGTTCATGCTTGTCCCGTATTCAGAGAGGTAATAATAAGGGTCAATTATTTGGCAAATGAAGGCAATCTAGAAAGTGAAGTCAGTTGCTTAGAAGCTGACACTGACAGTACTAGCTAGGCGCATCGTCACTTGCTGAAAACCTAAGATCTAATCGAAGATTGAGGAAGCTGCTTCGTTGTCTAATGCAGTAAGAAGTCTTCGCCAAATAATTCTTCTGTGATTAATTAAACAGGCAGCCCATCGTCTTCTCCATAAAAAATAAAGCCCATCAGAGTAAGATGACAGAGTATATACCACACGATGATTTTTATTTACAATAGTTGAATAGCGAACTAAATTAATACCAATTCACAAACGAAGAGCATATTCTGCTTTTATATATATTCATTGGGAATCACCAAAAAGCACTTGCTACAGGGACCCAAAATATGGGACCAATAGAGGGGACAAGTGAGGTGTTCCCCTCCTATTGGATAATGAGTTGGCCATCATTAATAATGGCCAACTCATTATCCAATAGGAAGGGGACACCTCACTTGTCCCCTCTATTGATCCCATATTTTGGGTCCTTGAGGAATTTTTCAAATGTAAATGACGATGAAAGAAGTCGATGGGGCTCACATGGCAGCAATCGAAGCGAGGGATTTAAAGAAGGTGGCTCCAAATCCCAAACCGCTCCCCGCCGCCAACGCATGACTCGCTAGCTTCTTCGCTGCGGTCCCGAGCTCCCTGAGATCCGATTCGATCAGATCGCTGACGATCTGATCCCTCTTCAGCATCGTCTTCAAGTACCCCATAGTTTTCTTCGATTCTTCGAGCTTCGACTTCTTCGCCTCAGCTGGCTTGCTCGTTAAAAAAAAGAATTCAGACTTACTTCTGACCGATCGTCGACACGTGTACGGAGGAGATGGAGAGGGATGTTTCATGACGACGTTCTCGTTTTTTTTTTTTCTTTTTTTGTCTGTTTGGGTCTTTTTTTTTTTAAACCTTAACTTTGAATGATTATGACAAAACACCCTTTACCTCTCAAAATATCAAAAAAAACCCTTAAGTATAGGGATTATCACAAAGCCCCTCTTTAACCTTTAGATTTTATCAAAAACCCCCCTTTGACTTTGAGATTTTATTGTAAAACCCTCTTAATTTAGGGAGGGGGGGGGGGATAAAAACTCAAAGTTATAGGGAGTTTTCTGATAACTCCTAAACTTAAAGGGTTTTTCTAATATTTTAAAAGTTAAGAGGGTTTTTTTATAATCGTCCAAAGTTAAGGGGTTTTTTATGATATTTAGCCTTAAGACAATTGATTGTTTACTTTTGTAGCTGTGATGACCTGCCTCACTGAAATAAGGATTTAGATCCTTATAAATTATATAGTAATTACAGGGTATTCAATTTTTATAACTCTAATCATGTATTTTTAATTTGAGGGATGACATGAAGGCACATAGAATTTTAATATTATCTTGAAAAACACTATTGCTTTTTAAACTAATATTGTCTAAACTCTTGTTATGATTTTGGAAATCCTATGTTACTTCATCTCAGCCTTTAAAATTGGAATATTGGGCAAAGATTGAGGTAATTGGATATTTCCCAATTAACACCTACTTAGGGAGATCCTAAGTTCCGTGAAAATGAATAAGTAGATGGAAATATGCAATCACGTCTTCAACTGTTTTGAGCAATTTTAACTTTATGTACCTTTTTAGTTTTATTAGAACAAAGTTTGTCAGGCTAGAATAGCTTAGAACTATTAACATTCGCTTTTAGTCTTATACCGGTCATAATGATTTTCAATAATTTTGGAATGTGAAGTTATCCTTTTAATCTAACGAACACTCCATCGTCTAATTTGTACCTCAATCATTCTCAATTCTTCTACAATGTTCATCCAAGAATTCTTTGATTTTTCTGAAATATCATGAGCGATTCTCTTATATCCCACTGTGAAACGCTGCTGATAATATATTGGCAGATCACATATGAGAATGGTTTTCGTTCTGCTCTTTGAAAATGGACAAATTTATGAAAGTAATTATATCCATATCTTTCCATTTGAGTTTTGCAAATGCTCACAATATAAGATGCTATCACGCTAAATTGTTCTTAGAATTCCAAACAACTAGCTGTTTGAAGAGAATATTCTCTCTTCAAATCTTAACATATGTACAAACCATACACCATTATTCTACCTTAGCGGAGGTGTGCTTTGTAAGTCCGAGCTAGTCCCAGCAAATCCATGAACAAGATTAAAAAAAGGACAATTTTTTGAAAACAACCTTTTTGAGAATTTAATCAGCAAAAACACGACCTTCTCCTTTAAAACGACCTTCTCCTTTAAAAATGAACAAACTACACGGTAGATTTTGTTGAAGATGTTTTTTAACTACACGAGACTACCAGTTTCATGTAGTTAGGGTGTACTAATCCATGATTAGCCATGCCAAGCAAACGAACAGAGACGACTATGGTCATGAGCAGACGTGGTTGAAGTGGGGTCGTCAGACATGGTCGAAGGTGCCTGTGGTCGCGAGCGTGGTCGGCGGGGTCACGAGATCTATGGTAGCAAGGTCACGAGATCTATGGTGACGGGTCGCGATAGCCCATGGCTGGGTCGTGAAGAACTTGAGAAGAGGGGAGAGTCACGAGTTTTAGGACTAAAGTTCTTTAAGTATACGAAATAGACAAGACTACTAGTCCCGTATAATTTGGCAGATTGATTAAGGCTTTAAATTATATAAGACTAGAAGTCATGTGTATCGCAGAAACTCCATTTCAACAAAATCGACCATTCTCTCACCTCGAGCGGTCGATTTTGCTAAGCTTTTTCTAATTGGATCGTTTTTACTGATTAAATTCTCAAAAATGTTGATTTCAAAATTTTGTCCTTAAAAAAATAAAAAATATTGCACACCAGAAACAATTATGATACATGAAAGAAACAGACCTCATCTCAAAAAAAAATCCCTGGGCTTCTCACCACTTCACAAAACATACCTCTTGAAATGCACAATCGAGCAAAAAATTTACTGGGTACATATAAACAAGTGTTCAGAAAAAGAAAGAGGGGAAAAAAATTCAAATAAGCTACAGAAGGTGAACCAAACGATATTCAAAGCTTACAATTAACAAGTATCAATCATCATATCCTAGGTTTTTGATCGAGTTGGGGCTCTTTCCACCAAAATAATGAAGTCTCAAAGCCTAGGTTTTTGATCGAGTTGGGGCTCTTTCCTCCAAAATAATGAAGTCTCAAAGCACAATGAACTAGTTTTTAACTTGCGCACCCTGGAAACTGAAGGATCAAACTTATCAGGGGCTCCATGAGGGTACGAGACAACACATACTCTTGAGAAAATTTTCACCTTCGGCAGATGATTTGATTTTGTAAACAATAATCGCCGTCTGTACCGAATATCATCAGATATAATATTTGTGGAGAGGACCTCCAGAGAATGCCTCATTGCTGCCAAACATTGTTCCATTTTAAGCTTAATAGCTTATAACAGATAAATATTCCCTTCATGGACAAAATCTACAAAATCTTCAACTGCAGGTTTGCACATATATGATCAGTACAAAATTTACAAGTTCAATGATAGATTCTGAGAAATGTTAAACATAAATGAAAATAACTTATCCGTCTCAGATAATCTCCCATTACGAACAGCAAAATCGCCATGGTTAAATAAAGCAGAATCGAGAAACAAGTTGATGCTGGATGATAAAAGTCAAATCCAAGACATGCTGGAACCTTGTGTAAAACTGTGCATGATTTTGTGTACATAAACAAAATAAAAGGATAAATGAGTAGGGGGTGTCAAGCAAATCTGGTATCACAGTCCATGTTGGGCTTGGTGTTTTGCTTGAATTCAGTCTGATTAGAAAATGTGTTAAACTTGAGTAAGACCTTGCTCTCATGTTTTGGTTTGACTAAGCTCGATAGAACATATTATTAGAAGGTATTCGATATTATACTTGCTATATACTAAACCTATCGGGTTTTCCACTATCGCTATTGTTCATAGCTACATGACACTCGCATTAAGTTTAGCTTTATAGTAGTAGGCAGAGGAGGTGTAACCGTGTAAATAAAGGTATTTTGCACATAAACCAGAAATTGTAAACAACTTATTTTCAAGCCCATCAACTTCCAATCTCACTGTTAGCCCCAAATGCTCATAAACTTTATAACAACTTCCAGACCGACTTTTAGCCCAAAATTTTCATCAACTTTAATAAATAATATAATAATAATATAACGAGGTATGATACAACTTGTTTTTATCTATAAATCCAAAGTTATACCCTATGTTGCATGGGTATGGGTACGGGTGCGGGCACAGGTATAATTTGTAAAAGGTTGGGGACACACGGCTATACAAATATTTATATGCACATGTATTATACATTGGAATTAATAATTTATTTGAGAACAAGGAATATAATTAAAATTCCTATGATAATTTTGTGTTTCTTTTATTATATGGATTATAAATTGGAAAGTAACTAGTTTTTGAACTAGACATTCGAATGACCCTTCAAAATCATATTTCGAAAGCTGACCTATGTCCAACGAGTTGCAAGAAGTGAATAAGAAAGTGTAGGATGTGTCCAAAAAATGTATGACAAATATTTTATATTAAAACGTATATTGTTTAATTGAGCACATGCCCAAATAAATGTATGTATACATGCAAGGAGTGTCCAAGGAGTTTGGGTACGAGTATGGGTACTGGTACTTGTTAGGTACGACTTCAGATCAGAAGTACCCAAGTAACATACTGATACCCCTCTTCATTTTAAACCCACTCTTCCCAAATCAATGTTAGACTTAAAATACTCAAATGAATTATGTTAAAACTCGCTTTGTATTTCAAGAGATACACAATCTTAGTTATTATTTGCGCTTCAACTTGTTATAATTCTTTTTCTAGATGGTTAAATACACGGTGTAACGAAATACTTGGTAACTTAAACCATTATTTTCTCCCCTTTGTTTCACACAAGTGGCGCGTCATCACCAAGTAGATGAGTTTTTCTCCTACATAGCCAAAGTTTTACCCCATCTTTTTAGTCCCACTTTTTAAAAATCACTCTCTTAGATGCAAAATTCTCCACCAAAAGTTCAACTCGGATTTATTTTTTGACTCACCTACTTCCAAAATCCTTTTTTGCTTATAGACCCAAACTTTTCCCTCATTTATTTTGAACCCACCCACTTCCAAATCACTCTTAGACCCAAAGATAATCCACCAAATTATTTTTAAACCCACTTTATATTCTAGTAATTTACTATATAGCGCATGTTGCGATATTTTATTGTCACTTGCTAAATTTTGTTCTAAGTGGTTAGGTATATAATTTTTTTTCCTTCACACTAAACATAGTAACATTACAAATTGCCTTTTTCTTTTTCTTTTTTGCTTATACCCTATTTAATTTTAAACTCACCCACTTCCGAAAAGGTTTTTTCCCCATAAATACCAAAGTTTTACCTCCATTTTCTTTAATACTCATCCACCTCCAAAACCACGCTTAAACCTAAAATACTCTTTCGATATAATTTTAAATGTACTTTGTATTTTCAATTTGGTATATGGTGTATATTATTATATCTTATTGTAACTTTCTATATCTTCATTCTCTACTGTTTGGTATACAAACTTTTTTGAACCAAATGCTTAAACAATTTGTTCGGCTTTTCTCACACTAATGTCGTGACATTGTAGATGGATTTGTAACCCATAAATATAAAACTTATCTCATTTATTTGTAAACTCTTAACCCCTCCCCACCCCCACCACCCCTCCACCCCCCAAAAACAAAAAAAAAAAGATTTTATTTACCTATAAAGCCAAAGTTTACACTCATTTATTTTTAACTCACTCGCTTTTAAAATCACTCTTTAAAACAAAATACAAACCAAACTATTTTTAATTCATTTTTTATTTCAACTATTTGGTACGGAATAAGTCTATATTTTTGTGGTTGCTTGCTATGTTTTTGTTTTAAGCGGTTAGATATACAATGTACTTTTAAACTAGTAGTTAAACAGTTTTTCACACATTGCGGCATCGCGGGGTCTATTTTTTTGTACTACATATTAAATCCAATGGAAGTTCTACTACAACTAAATACTGTTCATAGCTATAGTAGATTCCGTGTGATTAGTGTGTGTATATATTTAGAGTTGCGACTACAGAGTTCTTGTCCTAATACCCAAAAAGTTTACCCTAATTTGCTTTTAAGTCCAGTCATCTCAAAAATGAATAATAAGCCCAAGTGGCTTTAATAAAATAATATAATAACATAATATAGAACAATAATATAATCTAGTATAAACGGTTGTGGCCTATAAAAAGTTTCCCCCATTTTTTTTGACTCGAAATGGATTTTTCCCTATTAACCCAAAGTTTTATCCATATTTTATTTTTAAATCTGTTCACTTTCAAAAACACTCTAGTCTCTTAGACAAAATATTCTACTGAATTATTTTTAAACATGTGTGAATTTCTTGGAGTCGCACTGTCAATGTCAACCCTAAAGGATTCTATTTAGGACTTCTCACTCTAGTCATACACTGTTCATCTAAATAATGAAATCCCTTAGCTTGGCATACATAATGTAAATGAGAGTTATAAATAGAGGGTATCTTCACCAATAACCCCCAAGTCTCGCGTAAAATTTATTTCTAAGCTCACTCGCCTCCAAAATCACTCTACAGCCAAGTGCGCCATTTTATAAAAAATAATATAATAATGTATATACAATAATATACAAAAGTATTATATAAGGGGCTTTGTGCCTATAAATATAAAGTCTTCCCCATTTATTTTTTAACCAAACCACTTCAGAAAAGGTTTTCTTTTCCCTATAAGTACAAAGTTTTACCCCCCATTTATTTTTTAAATGGCCTGCTTTCAAAATTACTACTAGATCCAAAATACTTTGCTGAATTACTGTAAACCTACCTTGTGAAGTTCTACAAGTTGTACTGTAGATATCACTGTTGAGGATCCTACTTGACCAAAAAAAATCTAAACAAAGTTATTTGCCTACAAACCCAAAATTTTGCATGTATATTTTTATTAAACATGTCCCCTCTCAAAATCACTCTTACAGCCGAAAAACTCTGCTAAATTATTTTCAAGCCCACCAAATTAATTCTTTGGGAATTGAACTGTGAATAACAACTGTAGAGGCAACTATGACCCACAAATTACAGAAGGGTTTTTACCTATAAACCCAAACTTTTACCCCAACAAAAAACCATACTCCGCTACTTTAATTTAATGAACCTTTCTAACGAATTGCTTTGCATGGTATCAAAGAAAAGAATGTTTACTTCGTCTAAATGTTGACAAAATGTGCTGATACATAAACTAAGTGGTAAAATTATGTATCATCTTTTCGGTTTCATTCTAAATCAAATGCTTAAACAATATTCTTTTGATTTTTTCACACTATAACTGTAGCATTGCGCGAGTTGATTTTCCTCATTTTAAATATAATTCATACACCTGCAGCTAGAAATATGTAAACATATACTTGCTAATACGGGGTTTATCATATTAGAAACAATTAATGATAAGAATCTTTGCCAAATATTTGAAACAAAGATATAATTAATAATAAGTTGAACGACATGATTGCATGAGTTATTTACATGATAAAATGAGCAATATACAGGAAACAATAGAAATCCGAACAAGAAACGTTCAGGAAAAGTCATCCTAAAAATACATCGACTATATTTCCCTCTTCGTAGAGAGAGATTAATACATATGACAACGATTTCCTAGAGTGTGCACATGAATCTTTGGGTTCATTTTTCAAGGCCATTTGTAGGTCTTGAGAAGTTTGCAACTATAAATTTTCACATATTGCTCATCTTAGAAAGGATTCACATGTTGCTCATCAGAGGTAAAACTAGTGCCTTCTTTTCTAAGAGACTTACAATTCACTATCTTTTGTGCTTTCCAACTCTTAGACCTGCACCTTGGGCTTGTAATCTTCTAAGAAGGTTTTAAAAGAAAAAACTTACTGATGCCAGTAGGCAATGAACTTAATGCCATGCTGGCTATTTGTATAAAGGCATATCATCCTTTACATATTATAGATTCATATGCATTGGGTGTACAATTCTCCAAAGTTGTCACACACCAATACTGGTTACATAGCTAAACAAACGTGTATAAAACATAGGATCCATATGATTTACTTACAGATTTAGTAGTTCTCAGCCACAGGTCTAGAAGGAAAGAGTCTGAGGAGAAATGTAGCCAAGGACCACAAACAAATTAGACCAAGAACTTGAAGAACAGTAACCATAGAAAACAATGCACCACTTCTTTCCAATAGTTCAGGAGTCCTGGGTGCTTCCCTCATCGTGAACATCAACCTTTCAAGAAAATGTGCTCCTTTGTTTAGCTGGTATAATCTATATACCTGCGAAAGGATGCAAGTTTTACACTCAAGCTCTAAACCATTCAAAATTGAGATTGGTATTTTTCAATATTAGTCCCACAAATCTTTCATATTTTCAAAATTAGACCCCCAAATCTTCATATTCTAAAATTAGCCCCCCAAATCTTCATATTTTGATATTATTCTACGAAATTAATTGAAGTTAAAAGAATATTCAATCCCAAATTAAATACTTGTTAACTAGGCGGACTAATTTCACAATAGTTATAAGATTTGGGAGACTAATTTCAGCTTTCAATGACTTGGGGGGACTAATATCAAAATATTAAAGATTTGAGGGACTAATATTGAAATAACCCTTTGAGATTTCAATTCAGAGTACATACCTCAAAAATAATTGGTAACAATGGCCAACATGATACATTGCGCTTCTCTAGGTACAGTTCAAATGCAAACTGTATGGCACATCCAAGGAGAAATGGAGCAACTGCAATTGCAGCGGGAAGGCCAATAATTGGCCAAACAGCATAGGCAGCAAAAAGAGGAGCAAACACCTTGAAGCCCATTGTAAAGAATGCAGAAGATAGATACCCCTTGAGACCAGTGATAAGACTCCATTGCTTTGGGCTGAAGTCAAGATAAGGACGCTGCACATGATTGGTAATAAACAGAAATGCAGCTAGCCCAGCATAAAATATTATCTCTGAGAAGAATGATGCAACAATCTCTGCGTCGTTACAAAAAACATATAGAATTGTTAAATATTAAAGCCACTAAGTTGTTGATACTATAAGAATAAGTGGAAATAGAAGGCATGGCTTGAACACAGTTTTTCAAAAGGATAAGCTACACGTTTATTCAAAATATGATTAAACTCTGCAGTATCTATAAGGAATCTGCAAGATATACATCGAAAATCATAAAAAACAGAACCTTTTGAAGGGAGGAAAAGTTGATAGATTTCATACTCTACTCCCCAAGTGTTGACAAATTCACTGAAACTCTGCTTTTTCATCTTCTAGCCAAAGTAATAACTTTTGTATTCACCTGTAGTGCTTTAAAACCCTTTTTTATGGTACTTCCATATTGGTTTGATTGACAAAATTGAGATTCAATTTACAGCTTCTGAATAGTAAACAAATCAAAGTGATAAGTGGCAATGTTATTAAAATTATACAAATGTTGCATGCAAATGTATCATCACAAAGCTAAAATTGATCATGAAAAGAAATAATGCTTGTATCTCTCAGAAGCCTGGACATGAACGCGAGACTAATATGACACGAGCACAAACATGCGTCACACCAAGACCTTAAAAAAATACACATAACAAAATATGTGCAAAATATCACTGTTATAAATAGCGGTAAATAGCCCCGCAATAGCGGCGCTAATAGCTTTAGCGGTCCCTTCCCGTGACGCTATCGCCCGCTACGCCATCGCGCAATAGCGGTGACATATTGCGGAATATGTCTGTTCGCAAAAGCAGTCAATAGTGTCATAACGGTAAATAGTGAGTGATTGCATTCGAAATTTGCTTTTTGACTGCTATTTAAAAGCGGTTTGACTGTTATCGATAACCTTGAAAAATATATGCACATATGCATAAACATGTTTGTGCATCCAAAATCCCAGATACAAGCTTCTATTACTAAAAAAGAAACTATTACATATATTCTTCAATTTATAATACATTTTATGACTTCACTAGAGGAATACACCTTGTGTTTTCAACTTTCTATAGGGCAGGTCAATGAAATTCATTTCTTAGTTTGAAACATATCTAAACATATTCCAATTTTATACAAGTTGTTGTTTTGACTACCTTTTTCAATAAAATGTACTTTTTAATATACCGCTATGTCTGCATCAGTATATTACATACAGACACACATCAGTTAAATTTTTCATAAATTTAAGCGGACCGCCTGCAGTTTTCTAAACTACATTTATCTAAAATAGATAACAGTTGCTTCCAGATTCAATTTCAAGCACCAGATTCAATTTCAAGCATGCTACAAACTTTTTACATTAGAAGGAATAAAATAAAAACAACCGATGTAAACAAGAACATTCATGCTCTAATAAGAGAAATCTGAAAAATCAAGAATACCTGCAAGGATCTCATTTCTTAGAAACTCTTCAATCGCATTGCCAAGAAAAAATTGTGGAACCAATAGCGACGAAATCAAAGCAAGAGGACCCACAATCCACACAAAAGAACCAGAATCATCCTTGAATGGAGAAGATACCAACTTTCTCCCTTCTACATTCTCATGAGTCAATCCACAGAACGAAACCGAACCTGATTTCCCCCGAAATGGGTCCAAATTAATCCTACCCGAGGACCCAGAATTTGACACCAACTTTTTCACTTTCTTCACTTCATTCTTTTTAGGGGAATTTCCATTTTCGGGAAAATAAGAGCTAACCCTAGCTAAGCAGCCTAATCATAAGTATCATAATGAAATCCGTTAAATGTATAAAAAAAAGCTAAAACTTTAATGAAATTAATCGTTTTGAAAGGGGAAAATAATTTGCAAACCTGCTGAAGGATTGTTGTATCTGGGTTTAGCAAGGGATACCTGAAATCATAAGTTTAAGTTATATTAAATGGGAAAAAAATCTAGGGTTTGGGGATTTGGGAGAAGAATAACTTACAGTGGGATAAAAGTAGGAGGGAATTGAAGTAATTTTGCTTCGCGAGAGAGAATTCGACTGAGATGAAGAGGGAAGAAAATGAGGGCGTGGAGAGTAGCAGACTGATTGCATCATTTTTCTTTTTAGGGTTCTTGTTGAATAATTTGGATTTTACTTCCATTTGTAGAACCTTGAAGCTCAAAGAAAAGCTAAAGCCCTGCAGGAAGTGAAGTCTGTCAGAACTCTCGTGCGTGTCACGTGCAAAGTAGATGAGGGGTGACAAACGGGTCGGACCCAACCAGATCCGATCCATATAAATTTTAACCTGACTTATATAATATTGATCTGATCCAACCCTAAAAATCAGATCAACCTATTTATTAAACGTTACCCATACCCGACCCAAGTGACCCATTTTGAAATTACCCTAGAGAGGGGTGAATGGGATATTTGCTAATCTAATCTGATATTAATGTCAATTTAAAACTTATTAACAATTATCCTAGTAATTGAGATATATACTAAATTATATGCAAGGATAAACAAAGGGTGTGCAATATGGCAATAGGCGATAAACAATGTGCACAAGATATAAGAGAAATATACGCTAATGCCAAACACAAACACAAACAAATGATCACGGAGTTCGGTCACCCTTGACCTACGTCTCCGCTCCTCACTCACGAGGAGAATCTCCACTATCACAACCGGTTTTCAACGTTCACCGAAAATGTTTACAACTCACACAATCGGTTTCCTAGCTCACCGAAAACTTTCACAACGCACACAATTCCAATCACACAATACACCCTCTAAGTGTTGTCCTAGCCCGTATCAACTTCCTCAAGTGCTTGGATTTACCACATCTCCCTAGACTTTACTACTAACGCCACTCCTCTTGGAATTGACCTGTCTCTCACCACACAGTTCTATCGGTGTACTTGTGTATTACAATGTGATCTCACAATTAAGCTCAAGTACAAATGATTTTGTTCTCTAACAAGATAAGAACTCAATTAAACTTACTCTCAACTAATGACTCACCACAACCCAAGTACATAATGTATAAAATGCTAAGGGCTTGTTTGGATTGAGGGGAATAAGGGTGAAGGGAAGTTAGGGGAACCATTCACCTTGTTTGGGGATTGAGGGGAATAAGGGTGAAGGGAAGTTAGGGGAACCATTCACCTTGTTTGGGAACATTTAGGAGGTGAAGTGGAACCATTCACCTTGTTTGGGAACATTTAGGAGGTGAAGTTATTCACCCTAGTTCCCCTTAGTTCACCCTCTAATAATATAAAATTTGTTACCCCCCAAATTGGAGTGTAACCAAGGGGAAGGAAACTTCATTCCCTTCCCTTCCATTCTCTCACCTAGTTTCCCTTGACTTCCCTTAACCCCATTAAAATCCAAACACACCCTAAAAGCTCAATAGGTGGTGTGTGTGATTTATGAGCAATAACCAAAACTAAACTCAATTATGAAATCTAGCTTAATAAAATGATTAGTCAACAAATATATAAATGTAAAGCTATAAATTGAGTTTAGAGAAAACTTCTCTGAAAAACAAGAGTGAGAAAGATGAGAGATTGAAGCACAAACAGTAGATAAAAAGATCTCCTCCTCTTATGAAACTTTCTTCACATAAACACTTGTAGAAACACACTTAAAACAAACTTGAAACCCTTGTAAACTTGTTTTAAAACTTTCTATAAGTTATTTCAGAAGTTAGAGGGAATGACGTATATATAGGTTCATAAAAGAAATCCCTGTTTTCGTCAAAAGTTGACTTTGTTATGGAATTCATTATATCTTCGGTCGATTACAACAAATTCAAAAGAGATAGCCTTTTTATAAGACTTCTTTTACACAACAAAATAAAAATTACAACTTTTTAGAAACAAACGCAAGATCGTTGTTTGGATCGCTGCTTGCGTGGGATCTTTGCCTGTGCCGGGAGCGCTTTGACTCGTGGACCACCAAATCACAGATTCTGATTGAATCGTGAGGGGTTTAATGATTCTGACTTCGTTTATCGAAGTGAGAACTTGAAACGATATCTTATCGAAGTAAGATAGTCGTTCTTCTTGAAATCAAGTCAAAGCCTGAATATCAAGGAGTGGCTGGAAGCTCAGGAACTCTGCTCTCTCTGCTCTGAAATGCTCAAAAATGATCAGCCCCCTCAAAAATGGCCTTCGGGGGGTATTTATAGCCCCTAGGAACAGTTGGTGGAAAACCAGCTCGCGAGACAGCATTTGCTGTCTCGGCTGTCGAGACAGTGTTTGCTGTCTCGACGGGCGAGACAGTGTTTGCTGTCTCGGCCCTCGGCCGGGGAGACAGTAAACGTTGTCTCGCAAATAGTAACTGTCAGGCAGTTTTCGTTTTAACTGCCTTCCCACGTTTCAAACTCCGTTATTTTGGCAGTTATTCACGTGATTTTCGCCCACGATGTTTCCCACGTCCCTTGGCAGTTAATGGACACGTGTAGGGCAGTTACAAATGTGGTTTTTGACCATTTCAAAGCTGTCTCGCTGGCGAGACAGCAAATACTGTCTCGCTGGCGAGACAGCTCATACTTGTTCTGATTTTTTCCAAAACACGGTATGAAATCCTTTCTTGTGATTTTTTGAGTTATCTTCTTTATGTTTGGGATATCTATTAGCATTTTTTGACGCCTACAGATACCCCCTCCAAAGTGTTCCAGACGTGTTATTTTATAGAGGAGTCTGGGGCACTTTGGATAAGACAGGCCTTATTTGCAATCCCTTCAATACTTAATTGAGTAGATCGTACGGAAGGACCCGTACATGGCTTCAAATATTGATCTCTTCATCTTTTGGTCTATCCAGTGATTCGTAGAATAGACAAAAATTTTCCGGTGCTACGTTTATCGCTTGACCGTTGTCGAAGTCTTGACTTAGAGCTGGTATTGAAGAATGTGGATATAGTTTATACTCATATACTTTATTGGAGTGTTCGGGAAATAGTTTAACCTCATATACCCGTTGGGAGGCAATCAGGTTATTCTTAAGAATATTCTGAGTAATATTCTCCAGAAACTTCCTGTTGATGGTAGGGAAACAGTTTAGACTCGTGTACCTATTGGAGTAATATGGTCTCTTTTTTGTTGGTAGAGATGAACCCATAATCGGAGAGGAAGAATTTTATATTCTATCTCCTGGTCTCTTGTTTGTTGGTAGAGATAAACCCAAAATCGGAGAGGAAGAATTTTATATTCTATCTCCTGGTCTCTTTTTTGTTGGTAGAGATGAACCCAGAATCGGAGAGGAAGAATTTTATATTCTATCTCCTGGTACAAAGGAAATTTGAAGTGGGATTTCTATTCAGAGAATCTGAATAAGGTTTGATCAATTGAGATTGGAAGCAATCCTAACTTTTATAGGTTTAGAGGAAGAATTTTATATTCTATCTCCTGGTCTCTTGTTTGTTGGTAGAGATGAACCCGATGATGGAGAGGAAGAATTTTATATTCTATCTCCTGGTCTCTTGTTTGTTGGTAGAGATGAACCCGATGATGGAGAGGAAGAATTTTATATTCTATCTCCTGGAGTAAAGAAACTCAAAGTGGGATCTCCACTTAGAGAATCTGGATTGGTTTGAATAATCCTAACTGTCATAAGGTTTGATTACTCAATTCAAAAGTAAACCTTTCGTTCGCAAAAATGAATCGAAAGGAGATTTTGGTTGTGGTCCTAACTGTAGTAAGGTTTGACCAAGTTGGAGTTTTGAGACGATCCTAACTGTTTAAAGGTTTGATCGTTCAATTTGTGGACCTCTCGTTCATGGAACGAATCGAGAGGGGATTTTGGCTTTGGTCCTAACTGTTTAAAGGTTTGACCAATATGGGAATTTGAGACGATCCTAACTGTTTAAAGGTTTGATCGTTCAATTTGTGGACCTCTCGTTCATGGAACGAATCGAGAGGGGATTTTGGCTTTGGTCCTAACTGTTTAAAGGTTTGACCAAAATATGAGTTTTGTGAGGGAAGATTGATTTAAAGAGGTGATCGAATCTCATCTCAGCAAAAGAGTGTTCGGAAATCATAATAGGAGTTTAGTATTTATCATTTTGTTCATAATAATCGGGTTATCCCTAAGAATATTATATTTAACATTCTTCCGGGAACTTCCCGTTACATGAATTATTGACCCCCAGCTTTCTTTGCAAAACCGGGTATAACGAGGAGTACGTCATCCTCAGTCGCATGTTCGGGTTATCCTTAAGAATATAAGATTCTCTAGGAACTTCCCATTACATAAATCATCCACCCCCAGCTTCATTTGTGAAGCTGGGTTTACCATTGTATTCAGTTGGATGATCGAGAAGCAGTTTATACTCGTATACTCTTTGGAGTGAGGGGAAACAGTTTATACTCGTGCACCCAATGGAGTTAGAACCGTCTTTACTTGGCTTGTTCTGCCGTTATGACACATCGGCTTGTTTCGCCATTATGACGCCGGAGTCAATTAATTCTTGGATTTTATTTTTGAGTCCAAAGCAAATCTCGGTGGGATGAAGAACCCTTCTGTGGTACGCACAGTAATTTGGATCCGTAATCATCTTAGCTCCATCCTGATCTTTAATAGGTGGTAGCTCGATTTTGTCATTGGCGAGGAGGTATTCCAAGATGGCTGGAGCTTCATCATCTTCGAAAGAATACTCCTTTTGAAACCTCGGATCGGGAGTCGCGTTCCCAGTGATTGCAGATGTCATCGGTCGGCTTCTTTCAGCTTTCTTTCTTTTAAGAAAATGTTCAGCTTGTTCGCCACGTAGTTTTAACTCTTTCCAAGTTTTGGATGGTACGACCACCAGAGCTTCCAGGACATCGATGGAGAGATTATTATGGCATGTTTACAGGATGAACTCTTGTGTGAGTGGATCTCTGTAATTCATTGTTTTGTTACGGAAGCGCTTGACAAAATTGTCGACTGACTCCCCGTCTTTTTGTTTTTCATCCAGAAGGGTTCCGATTGACACTTCGGTGTCATCATCGAAGAAATTGCTGAGGAACAAACTTTCCATGTCATCCCAGCAATTGATGCTCCCTGGCTTGAGCCGTCGGTACCAATCGAAGGCGGGCCCACGAAGGGTGCCAACGAATGACCGGACCATTAAAGCCTCGTTTCCAGAGATCATGCTCAAATGAGACTTGAAATAAATCAAGTGCTGAATAGGCGAGTTCTTC